CCTCCTTCACTCCCCCACGAGCACCACCAGGGCTCCCTGTGGGCTCATCAAGCCTCAGAGATCTCTCCCTCCTCAGCTCTCCCCATACCCATCTCTTCCTCCCTCTTCATCCTCCTCACACCGCTCCTCCAAGTGACCCTGAGGTTGTCGTAGTTGAGCTCGCTCACGTTAGAGATTTCAGCGCTGGAGCATGCAGCAGGGAACGCTCACCTGGCTCAGGCTCAACCTTCCAACTTCCTGCTGCCTGGAAAGCATTAGCCGGGATGATCTGGGCGTGGCAGGGCCAGGCCCCTGCTGGCTCCCGAAGAACAGAGGCCCAGCTTGGAGGAGGGGGAAGAAACCTGCTCAGGAGTCCCTGGGTTTATTCACGTGTGTGTCTGCTTGTATGTTTGTAGGCCTGTGTGCATAGCTGTGTGTGTGTTCGAGTGTGTGACTGCGTGTGAGCCACTGTGTACTGGTGCCTGCCTATGCGTGTGTGTCTAGATATCTTTGTATGTGTGTGTGTCAGTGTGTCCTGGAGCGTCTGAAAGTCCATGAGAGTGCAGCTGTGTGTGTGTGTGTGTGTGTGTGATGTGGGAGAGTGAACCTGTGCCGTGAGTGTGTGGATGAGTGTGAACACGTGGTAAGGCGTGTGCTTGGAGTCCCCTGTGGCCCTGAGTTCCTCTTCTTTTTCTTCTTGTTTCTTGTGAACAATTTGATTAAAATTCAGGAAGCAAGCAGCAGAACCTTCAAAACAAGATATGTGTGTGCATGTCCGTGTGCACACACACGTGCATGCCTGTGGGCCAGAGTCTTCCTCGGTGTCCGCCCTGCTCTCCCACCCCCTCCCATCCTGCCTGGGTGTCTCTCTCTCTCACTCCCCACGAACACCTCTCTTCCCCTTCCCGTTTCTTGTCCTCACACTGATGGCCTGACCCGTGCTCCCCATCTCCCGCCTGCGTTTCCTCTATGGAAGGAGCCGCCTCCTTCCACTCTTCCTGCGGTGACTCTGTCTCTTCCTTCAGAAAGCGCACCCAGTGGGGGCCAACCTCTGCCTGCCCAGCACCCTGCCCTCTGCCTTTCCCTCCCAGAGCCCGACGGCCACGGCCCTCAGAGCCTCAGCGATCTCGTAGAGTGGATTTCCCACGGACTGTGTGCAGATTGCAGAGGAAGAGTGATGAGCAGGGTCCAGCCTCTCCCCGCCTGCGGCCCCCTCCCCTGCAGACCCGATCCCAGGCTGGCAGACGGGCTCCTTTGTACAGTTCTTACAATAAACCCTCCCTGGCGCCTCCAGTGTGTAGCTGTCCCCTTCTGCGCCTCCATGTGTGGATGTGGACGGGGCTCAGTGCAGCCAGAAGCATGAAGGGCTGGCAGGGATTGGAGCCAGGTAGGGAAGACATGGGAGCCTCGGGGACATCAGGGCAGGAGAAGGAGGGCCCCAGCGCCACCCTCTGGCCCAGTGCAGCTCTCTCCCTCCCCCTCCAAAAGCACCTTAGCTGGCGTCCAGGAGGCCAGATAGGGTCAGGGGTCATCCCCCTCCTCGCCCAACAGGAACACCACACTCCCCCTGCCCCAGGAAATACGTGTTGGGACCCTATGCCCCCAGCCCCTCCTCTCCAGAAGCCCCTTCACTTCTCTGCCCGCCTCAGAGACCTCAGGGTGCCTGTGGGGCACACAGCACAGCCCCTCCCTCCCTCAGAGGCACTCACCGCCAGGACTCTGCCCCTGACCCCTGACCCCTGACCCCAGAGAGCCCAGGCTCACATGGACTCGTGACAGAGAGTATTCTTAGGTGTCGAACTCGGCCCACAAACCCAGTGGGTGAAACATAATCTTGTGTGTAATTTTATTTTCTATAACAACTTCTGAGTCCCAGGGCTGTAGTCCTTCAAACTAGTAAACACTTAACCCTTTGGGGATTTCTGCACCCCCTTTCCGGGGTCCTGCATGGGGGGTGGAGAGGGCCCTCAGGCTGCCCCCGAGACATCCCTCAATTGCAGTTGCCCCTGCGGCCCTCCCTCCTGCAGCTGTCTGCGTGTTGTGGGCATCCTTACAGGGTCCTCTGAGCTCCCACCAGGGTACGGATCTCCCCCCTGGAGTTGGGGCTTCTTCTCACTCTTTCTCCAGACCTCTCAGGCCCCACGGACAGGAAGACCTGCAGGCCGCCGGGCCCACCCTTCCCGTGGGCCTTGAGTGGCGGAAGAAGAAAGGGGTGGGAAGCACGGGTCACACAGGCTGCTGTTTCACAGCCATCCCACCCCGGCATCAGCGCTGGGTGCCACCTGCCCGAGGTGGCTATCAGGACCATTGCTATTTTACACGAATGAGGAACTTGGTTGCCGAGAGCTTAATCATGGGTGTTGCCCAAGTGGGGTGCTGTTGGCATGGGGGGCAGGGAAACTCTTCGTGAGCCACTGTCCCTTCCCCACCCCAGGGCGCCCACTGGTCATGTGACCAGGGCAATTGCTCTGGTGCATTTGCAGACATGGCAGTGGGGGGGCACCCCTAGCTGGGAACCTGGGGGACTTTCTGGTGGGTACACTGCAGCCTCAGGATTTGAACCCACACCCTTCTTAGCCAGCAGGTCTCCTCCCGGTCACAGCAGCCCAGCAGATCTGGGAAGCCTGGGCCGCGGAAGGGGACAGAGGTCTGAGCTTGTCTTCTCCTGAGGGTCTTTCCCCTCCCATCCTTCTCAGGGTGGCTGGGAGGTCGCTGCCTTCTCGCCTCCCCAACTCCTGACCCCCTTGTCGCTTCCCCCCACCCTCCCAATCTCTTGTTTTGGTGCTGCCTTCCTGGAAAGGGGCGCTGCCGGATGCCAGGGTGTGCAGCCCAGGTCAGCTGGAGCAGAGGCGGGGGTGGGCTTACAAGGCCTCCTGTTCTGGGAAGAAAAGGGCATCACGAGCCCAGGATGGGCCTCAGTGCTGTTGTCACTGGTGAGGGAACAGCACAGCCCCACCTGTGACAAATAACCCTGCAGGTGGCGGGGCCCCGCTGCCTCCGCCCTTCCCGAGAACGGATCCCTGCCTGGCATGAATGGGAATGAAGCCCAAAGGACACATCTGCATCCCTGCCCATGGGGGTGTTGATGAGCGTGAGTCTGGAGGATGCCAACCGCCCCCGGCGACCTCCGCGCCCCTATGGTCACCTGGGCCTCAGGACCAGCTCCTGAGCAGGCCCCCTGCCACCACATGGCCCAGGCAACACACGTGAGCACACACACGCACACAAATCCGTGTGCCCAAGCCTCCCCTAATTAGCCTCTCGACTCTGGGGGACGCTAGCGCCAAAGCTAACCAAGGCCTCCATCGTCGGGGGCTGGGGAAGGGCAGAGTTTGCTAAACCAAGAGACCCCGGATTTTGCCCCACACCCCAGGGTTGATCTCTTTTTAACCACCCCCACCAGAACAGGGCCCATGGTCCCCAAGCTGACCTCAGGTGATGTTTGTATTCCCGGGCTGTTTGTTCCATGAACTGAACATCTGACACCTTTTCGGAGAAATGTTTTTTCATTTGGAACATCTGGAAACAAGCAAGAACATCTGGGACTGCCCGGAATGAGCTGTACCTCAGATGAAACCTTAACCTTCCTGTCCCCGATTTCCATAGCTCAGGTCTTGGCTTGCGCCCCTTGAGAGCGGATCCCAGGACTGTCGGGGGAGGCCTAGGCCCAGGACTGAATGTGAGGGAGGGCGCCCAGACCCTCCACCTTCCAACTCCGGTGTGAGAGGTGCGTCTGCCTGACCCTAAACCTAGACATACCTGCCAGCGTTGAAAAATGGGGGGAGGGTCGTGGGGAGAGTGGGAAGTGGACAGATGACCCTGGGGACTTACCATCTCTCTCCCTCTCCTGGGGGTCAGAGGATGAGAGAGTGTGAGGGGATGAGAGAGAGAAAAGCAGCTGCCAGGAGACATAAAACTCAGAGTGGGCTGAGTGCAGGGCTGATGTTTGCAAGCCTGCTGTGTGCAGTTGTGCAGGTTGTAGCCTGCACAAGGGCGTCTTTCGAAGGGCAAGTGTTGTATCGGACCCAAGGGAAGGGGCACAAAGCTGAGCTTAGATGAGCTCTTGAACACTATGGTTTCATCCACCACCCTGCATGCGGACTGGCAGGATAAAGGCAGGGAACCTGAGGGCTCCCCCACACTGGCCTCCTGTCCCCTGCCCAAGACCTGCTGGAGCTGCAGAACAGTTCAGTGCCCTCAGAGTTCGACAGCGAAGGACTCCCTTAAGAAGCCCCCTGGTTGCTAAGGGGTGGGTTTTCTCTAAACTGTGTCCACCTAAGTCCCCCTCCTTTGGCAACCCCCAGAAAACCCCCACAGCATGAGGAAGGGAGGCCTCTCACCAAGGCCTGCACCAGGTCTTCTCCCCAGGGGCTACCACACTCAGCCTGCTCTTGCTCAAGAACCTCTGTGGCTCCCTTCCTCCACACGGTCAATTTCCAACATGGCCACCGCACTCCAGCCAAGAGGCTCTGCTCTGGGACCCTCCAGGTGCCTGGCCCCCTGCACTGTCCTTCCTCAGTGCTCCTGTTCCCACACAGTGAGGGCTGGGTCGGGGCAGAGCGGCCAAGCTCAGATTCCTTCACAGGACTGGTCTGTACTTAGCTAAGTACCGAGGAATAAAGAATTGCGAGGCTCTGCCCTCTGAGGAGCTGGCAAACTGCAGATGGGTGACTGGCAGGCCCAGGACAGGCCCAGCAGTGGGGTGGGGACACATGGAGGGGTGCACAGGCTCTCCTGGAAGACTGAGAGACACCCCCCAGGGGCATCCACCAAGGACCCCAGCTGTGCTGCCCAAGCTGGGTGGCCTTCAAGCCTTAGTGGCCCAGCTGAGAAGAGGCCACCCTCCCCCAGGTCCCCAGAGAGCTGGTGCCTCCCCTGGGTCCCGATTTGCATGGCAGGAAGGGGCCTGGTGGGGAAGAGGCGGGGACGGGACAGGCTGCAGCCAGAGCAGTTACACTTTTCCCCCCCAAGGGTCTCGGACAGACTTGTCACAGGCTTGGGGCCGGGGCCGAGTGGAGACCATGGCCGGGCTGGTGTTGTCTCCTGTGCCCAGAAACTGGCTGGTGGTGTTGCTGCTGCTTCTCTCAGGTACAGCTCTGCCGGTCTTGCTCTCTGCGCCTTCTCTCTGGGCTGGCTCCGTCACCCCTCACTCCTTCCTGCTCCTGTGTCTCTCACACTTTCTGCCTCTTACCACCCTCTCCCTGCCCTGGAGCTGGGTCTGTGGGTTTCTGCCTGGTAGGGGCTCAGGGGTCTGCAGCCCCAGCCCCTCTCCTGCCTAGAGGGTGTCAGCCCACTGGACGTGAGGGGCAAATCAGAGTTGGCAGCTAGGATCGTGGAAGTGCTGGGTCCAGGAAGAAGGGGGTGGCATGCGGCTCACCCACCCCCACTCCTCTGAGGGTACCATGTCCAGGAGGCAGGGGAGAGGCTGCCCAGCCAGACCCTGGGAGACGCATGTTCCAGAAATGTCCCTTTCCATCTGGACGAGCCGCGCTGTCTCATTTCAATACCTGCTCAAGGCCACCCTAGGGTCAAGGGCAGACAGGGGAGCGGGGTGCGCTGGGGGTGGGGCTTCTGGTCTGCCCACCCCACTCCCACCTCCCGGCACAGGGGCAGGGAGGGCTGAGGGGCTTGGAAGGAGGAAGTGGGTCTGGGGGTGTGGAGGGCGCAGGGGTGGGGCGGCCCAGAGAAGAGAGCCTGACCCAGCCCCGCCTACTTACTCCTGCCCTGCAGCCCAGACTGTGCCGGTGGCCAAAACACAGGACCTGTACCAGAATCCCGAAGGTCAGTGACCTCGCCCCACTTCTGAAGACAAGTATATCTGTGTCCAACACTGGCCACTGCCCCAGGGGCTGCCCCATGTCCCATCCTTGCCTGAGTCTCCACATTCAGGACCCCTGTCCCCAGGCCACCAAGGGTCCCCCTCCCCAAGGCTCCACCCCCAGCCAGCTGTCACCCTCCTCAGACAGGGCTCCAGTCCTGGGTGCTAGGGGGCTGGGCTGAGCCCGGGACCAGAGCAGGAACCAGAGGGGACTCCTCTGAGGACTCAGGCCTGGGGCTGTCTGGCTAGAGGGTTGGGCCCAGCCTCAGAATGAGTCCTTCGGGGCGGGGTCTGCTGTGTGAGCTCCTCAGGGAGGCCACTCACTGGGAACAAGGCAGGGGGAGGCCCCTTGGAGAAGATGGGAGAGCATTCCAAGCTGAGAAAGAAGGTTCTGGAACATAGTCCGTGCAGGAGGGAAGGGGGATGATGGAGGGAAGACAGGCAGGGGTTTACTGAGGAGGGCCTTGATTGCCAGGCTAAGGATTTGGTCTTTGTCCCTGGGGGCCGTGGGGAGTCCCTGAGGGTTTCAGGCGGGTGCAGGGCAGCCCAGGAAAGGGAGAGACAGAAGCACCAGGCCAGGCCACAGGCGGTCCTGGGGGCCCCTATGCCCAGGGGTGAGGCCCAGGTCAGGCTGTTGAAACAGGCATGGAAAGGATCTGGAAGGTCCCAGAGCCCTTCCAAAGGAAACTCAGAGGGGTGAAGGGGCAGCTGCGGAGGGGTGTCCAGCAGCTTGGCCCGTGACCTCTCACATGGCCCGACTGCCCCGCACCTCTGCCCTGACTGTCCCACGGAGCCTGGGGGTCAGTGCCACCAGATGGGGGCCCGCGGTCCAGGCTGGCAGTCAGGAAGATGCCAAGCAGAATTCTGAGCCAGCCTTGGTGCCCACAGGAAGTGCTTGTTCCCGGATCTGGCAGAACCCACGTTTCATGGCCAAGAAACGGGGCTACACAGCAAAAATACATTGCTACACGGATGGCACCTCTGGCGTGGTGAGCTGGCTGCGGAAGCAGGAGACGGACCCCGAGCCCCAGCAGCTGCACCTGGAGGAGGGACACATGCTGCAGACCCAGAACGGCTCCATCTTCACCCTCATCATTCAAGGCACCCAGTTTGAGGACAACGGCATCTACTTCTGCCAGCAAGAGTGCACTGGGGACCCCCCAGAGGTCTACCTGGGCTGCGGCACTGAGCTGCGAGTCATGGGTGCGTGCGGGGTAGCGGGGTGCTCCTGTAGCCGTCCACACCCACACCCAGCCCAGCCTGCCACCTGTGGAGGTGGCCGTGGCTCTGGAGCACCCACGAGAGCCACTGGGGAGCAGGTCCTGAGGGGTCCACAGCCACCACTGCGGGCCCAAGGGGTGCACTCCCGGGACACCCTGCGCCCCAGCTCATGGCCCCGCCCCCTCAGGGTTCAGCACCTTGGCGCAGCTGAAGCGGCGGAACACGCTGAAGGACGGCATCATCATGATCCAGACCCTGCTCATCATCCTCTTCATCATTGTGCCCATCTTCCTGCTGCTGGACAAGGTGACCACGGGGCGGCGGGAGACGCAGGGGGCTGCGTCCCCATCTCCCAGCCTGCCCACTGGCTCACCTACTCAATCACTCACTCGTTCATTCATCCCTCTGTTCAGCTGTTCTTACAGAGTGCACCTCACCCCACCCCCGTCCCCTCGCCCCAAGCCCGTCTCCCCGCCCTCCACAGCCCCCCGAGCTGGAGCTGGGCTGTGGGTGCTGACACTCTGATCTCCCTCCCTCCCCCAGGATGAAGGCAAGGCCGGGATGGAGGAAGATCACACCTACGAGGTAAGCGGCAGGGGGGACCCAGCAGCTCTGAGGCCGTGTGGTCAGGGGCCACACCTGCCGGCGTGGTCAGGGATGGCCCAGGCTTGAGCTCCATTTCATGTCTCCAGGGCCTGAACATCGACCAGACAGCCACCTACGAGGACATAGTGACTCTGCGGACAGGGGAGGTGAAGTGGTCTGTGGGTGAGCACCCAGGCCAAGAGTGAGGGCAGGGCCCTCCCCACACCCAGGCTCAGCCCCCTGGGCCTCAGTGACTGCTTTAGAGCTGCCTGGCTCACACCCCACCCCCTGGCCCCCGGTGGCCTCTGAAGCTGGCCCACCAGAGCGGCCTCCCTGCTCCAGCCCCCGGGCCACAGCTCTTGGCAAAGGGCTGGAGTCAAAGGGCAACCAGGCGGTGACGTGGAGGGAGTTCTCCAGGGATGGACTGGCCCTAGCCTTCCAAGGGTGCTAAGGGGAGCCACCTCCATGCATGGGACAGTGAAGGCGGAGACTGAGGCGGATCCTACAAATGGACTCAGAGCAGATTGGCTTTCTGAAGGGCCATGGCCCTTCACTGGGCCCCAGAAGGGCCACCGAGAACTTCATTCCTCTCTCCCAACCTCTCCCACCCTAGGGGGCCCCTGGCCCCGAGCCCATTCTCCTGTGGAATAAACAGTGTGTTTTGAGAAACCACACATGAGCTCGTGACATCTCATGGGTGCGGGTGGCTGGGAGTGTCTATTTGGGCACTTCTGTTGTCTGAATGTGGCACCTGTGGGCCTGCCCCTTCTCTCTGAAGGCCCACTGGAGCCTGGGGCCACATCCCCCTTTTTTTCCCCACTTGGGCTCTAGCTGGTCCTAAAGCAATGGGAGAGAGGGTGTCTGGGCCTATCCTTCCCTCCGCAGGATGCCCTCACCCTGCTCGATGCAGCCAACAAGCAGCAACTGTGCCCCGCTCTGCCTTCCACCTGCAGGAAGCCCTCCCAAAGCACCTGGTCCCTGCCCAAGCCCTGCCCAGCCCAGCCTGTGCAGCTGTGGCTTAGCCACTGCCTGGTGCTGCGCACGCTGGCCCTGGTTCTCCAGCTAAACTAGAAGTTCCCTGAGGGTAGGAGTTTTCTGCCTCTACAATACCCCTATCCACCTCTACCTCTCACCCTCCCACCAAGCCCAGGAATTTTTTTTTAAGCTTTACCCAGAGCCACTCAGAGATTCCTGGCTGTGTGCAGTGGCTCATGCCTGTAATCCTAGCACTTTGGAGGCTGAAGCGGGAGGATCGCTTGAGGCCAGGAGTTCGAGACCAGCCTGAGCAAGAGCAAGACCCCATCTTTACCAAAAATAGAAAAATTAGCTGGGCATGATGGCACAACCCTGTAGTCCCAGCTACTTGGGAGGCTGAGGCAGGAGGATCCCTTGAGCCCAGGAGTTGGAGGTTGCAGTGAGCTATGACCCCTCGTGCCTGGACAAGAGAGTGAGACACTGTCTCTAAAAAAAAAGCAACGATTCCTAAAGAGGGAGGCTTTGTAAAGTTTGGGGGTTCTTAGGTGACCCCTTCAGACTTTCCTAGCATCACACTGGAGGCCCCCTAGGACCCCAGGGTCCTCACAAAATGGTCCCCAGGTCCCTCCAACCCAGGAGGTACTGGGAACCGCTCACGGCTGGGAGACCAAGTACAACCAGCCTATGTGACAAAGCCTCCCTCCCAAGCCAGGCTGTGCTCGACTTCTCCTTGACCTTGGGGCATCCCGCAAGGCCTCTCTGCCATTCCTGCTCTGGATTCAGAAAAGAGAATTCAGGGATCTTCCAGTTTACCTGGAGAACCAAGGCCAGCATGTGGGATCTAGTGAGAGAAATACTGATTTTTACCAGGTTTCTCCCAGAATTCCGGGGGGCAGGTGGGTAAGGCACCCATGCTTGGGGTTTCAGGCCAATCTCTCTACCACCCTGGGCCACGCCGGGCAGGCCCTGTTCCCTCCCTGGTCTCTGGGCTGCCACAGGGAACTGGCTTGTTTTGGCTTCTGCCTCTACTGAGCTGGAGCCCTCCCTTTCCTGCTGCTTTGCATAGTGGCACTAATTCCGTCCTCCTGCCTCCACCAGGGACCTGGGCAGCTGGGTAGATGGGGAGCAGGGGCAGGAGGCTTCACTTCTCCCCTAAGCAGGGTCTCCCCCTGTCTGGGGCTGCCCTGGGCGGGGGGCGGGGCGGGGAGCTCTTGGCTTTACCAAAAGACTATTTAATAGCTTTAAATAACTGAGTTGTTGACAGAATCATCGGAGCAGAGGCCTGCTCCCTCCGCCAGACACCCCAGAGGGCTTTGCCTTCATGGGTTATGAGGTAGGAGCCCTCCCTGGTCTGTTTTTCTGTTTTAGGAGCTTACACTTTGGGGGGGCATCATGTCCGTCTTGTGGGTCCCCAGTCCCCAGAACTGATGTGGGCAGTGGAAACAGCTGAGTGATGATGGTGAGATGATGAATGTCTCAGGCCTCAGTTGCTTTATCTGTAAAATGGGAATCTTAAAACCTATCTGAACCAGATACTGTTGTATGTTTTTAAATCACACAATAAAATTGAGTTTGCTTTCTTTTGGTGTACAGTTCTAAGAATTTTAGCACACATATAGATGTGTACCCCCACCACCACAATCAGGATACAGAACATGAACCAAAAACTTTTACTGGGCCCAAGAAATACACATGGAGCACCTCCTAAATGCCAGTAAGATGGGACTGAGGGCCTCCACGTTCCTTTACGTTACCTCGCTTCGGCCCTGGCATAGCCCTGCAAGGAGTAGCATTATCCACATTCTACAAACAAGGAAATCAAGGCCCAGGGAAATTACCATAATGGCCAAAAGTCACACACAGACCTTGTGACACCAAACCGAGCATTCTTCCCGCCACATCACAGCCGCCTCCCTCCCAGGATGTTATAGCAATGACTTTGTACCAAAGGAAGAGGAAAGGATGGGGAGGGAAGCTAGGGACAGCTTTGACTGTCTGCAGAAGTTTGTGTCTTGAAGGGTTTGCTTTCCCGTTGTTCACAAGTTCCAAGGCCCCGAAGGCCCCAGCCCTTCTCTCTGGGGCCTAGGTGGGGGCTTGCCACTGGGCCGTCCTTCCAGGAGCCCTGTCCCTTCCCGAGAGCGCAGCTCCCACGCCCCTGGTGGGCACATGCCCCGCCACCCACCAGGGGAATCCAGCCAGCTCCCTGGGGACCCTGGTTTAAGCTCAGGCTGCTTCCTCCTCCGCTCTAGCTTGACTTCCGGCCCCTTCGCTGCAGGTGCTGCTAGGGCTGGGGTGATCTGACCCGAGGGTTTGGGTATTTTTCCAGCAGAATCAGAGGTAAGAGAAAAACAAAACAACACGTGGAAAGCCAAGCTGTTTTCGTGACAATGGCAGGTAGGGTTCATCGCTTAGCAGGTGTCTGGCCTGTCTGGGCCTTCTGTGGGGCCCTCAAAAGCCATCTCAGAGCAGTGTTTGGGACCCCAGATTCTGTCTACTCTCTTTGGTCCACCTTAAGAGCTGGGTTCAAAGCCCACATCTTGACCTTCCTGCGTGTGTCCCGGGTCTCCAAGCTGCTCCTGGTAGGGCACCCTCGGGCCCAGCCTTTGACTCAGCTGCAAACAACAACAAACCTTCCACTCGGGAATCCACCTGCGCTCTCCAGCCCGAGAGCCTGTACTTGGAAACTTAGGTGACCGCAGAGAAGAAAAATCAACCAGCATTGAATCCTGAGCTCAGTCAGAGTGTAGTCTGTGGAAACACACTTAGACTAATCCTAACACAATTTTCAAATTTTTTTTTTTTTAAGGCCTTTTCCCCTCAGACCTAACACCACTTTCTCCATGCGGCAGGAGGGGGCGGGCGAGACACCTCTAGGGCTCAGGTTCTGCAAGTCGTGAGCCCGTGTGGAACCTTCGCGTGAACTTGGAATCAGCATGCGCGTACCGCCCCGTCTCCTTTTGCATTTAATTGGTTTCACATCCATGTTGCCATACATTCGAGTTCCTGTCCTTGCTATTTAAGAATAACTCCACCACCACGAGGACGTCCAGACGTACCATGGTCTGCCTTGTCTCCCAGCCAGCCGGACATTCGAGTTCTTTGCTCAACGGTGTCCTGCCGGTCTACTCAGCAGACACTTGCTTAAATCCCCAGGCCTGCAGCGGTGTCAGTTGCCCGTCCTGCCACTCCCCAGCTTATGCTCTCACCTCTATATCTTAGCTATTTCCTACACGGCAATGTTTCCAGTGAAATTTCTGTCTATTTTACCATTATATATTGATTTGTTTGCTGTTGTCTCGCTCCAGGAGAAAAAGGATTGTGTCTTTTGTTCATCTAGGTATGACCGTCTTCCTGGTACGACGTCTGGCACATGTTACAGACAACCACTGCTCGTTCAATCAGTTAACGCACGAATCAGAGAATGAGGGAAAGAATGAATAGATGAAAAGCAGGAATTCAGCCTCCAAGAGCTTCCAGTCTGGTAAGCAGAATAAGATGTCCACAAATTACCACAGGACAACGTAAAAGGAGGGAGAGGTTATTTCCGGCCGAGGACGCCCATCAGGAAAGCACCCCAGACTTCCCACACCTGCTGGACACACCTCAGTGCTTCTCACTTCTTTTTCAACGGGACAGTCTCCCTCAGGAGTAACACCCCAAGTGAAAAATACTTTGCATGTCCGGTTATGTAGATGCTTATGTACTTCCAGGTTGTTTGGAGGTCATCGAGCAGTGTCAACAACAACCCCATTGATACACAGGAGTTGCTGCCCCTGTCCTCCCCGCAGCCCTCCACGGCCCTTCCTCCACGCATGAACCCTCTGGCCACATCGTGTGGCAAACTCAAGGGTCCAATGAGATACAGGAAGTGAAAATGATGTACAATGAAACGTGCAGTACAGATGTGCAGGATGATGTGATTTGGTTCACTAAGCCAGGCTACACTGGGTTTTTTTCTACCGCTTTTCTTAGTGGCTGTAGACACCTTATTCTGGGGCTGAAGTTCCTTGCATTCGATTCCCCCTGGCTTCGCTGAACATCCTCCGTTTGCTGGGAATTGATTCCTGCCTCGCTGGTTTTGCACTAAGCAAAGTCCTATCCATGATCAGTAGCACCACCATCCTTACTAGAGCTTGGCACGGTGGAAAGATGGGGGGCTTGGGTAGCCGTTGCTTAGGAATTGGGGGACCCCCTGAGCAAGTCAATTCATCTTTTTGAGCCTCCGTGTCCTCAGCTGTGAAAGGAGACTCACACCCCCTCTTGCTCAGCAGTGGGCACCCAAAACATCGCCCTTCGTCCCCATCTCGCCAGGAAGAGCCCTTGGGCATCCCCATGTCATGTCCTCTGAAGACCTCGACCCAGTGGGCCGAGTGATCGACTTGGTGCTGAGACCCACGGAAAGGTTGTTGGCAGCAAAAAGGAGGTGGAGTATGTCCCAGGTGCAGTAACCAGCCTCTGACCTCAAGAAGGAAGGAGAGAGCTGAAGGTGGGAAGTGGGGACCTCAAATCACCCAGAGTGCTCTGGGCCACCCTAATTCTGGGGTCAACGGAAGTGAGGGGTGAGAGAAGACGCCGCCAACCCTGGCCAGTCCCACCCGTTCTTGGCCTCAGCCACACCTCACTTGTGCCCACCTGTGTGGCTACCAGGTAGTCCCCAGCTCGGTCCCCTGCTGCCCTCACTCCTAAGGGAGGCCAGACTTCTCCCATGGCCCAAAGTCCACACTCAAGTCCCCAGCACTGGCCAGAGCCTCTGTCATGGGGGGTTCCACGTCCCAGGTGACATGGGAGGAAGGATGGAGGAGAAAGCAGGGACCCTTCTCCATTCCCACCTGGCTCCATTCCCACCTGGCTCCCCCTCTTTAGTGGAGCTGCAAGGAGAGGAAAGGGGTGTCCTGGCCTTCCCCCAGCCCCCCTTCCTCAGAGCCTGTATCTGTGACGTCACCTCCTCTCCTGCCTGGAGAACAGCCCACGGCCAGTGCCCTCCCAGCGGGTGGCGAGTCAGGAGCACTGGCCGGGCAACACTTCAGTGACAGGGAGGAAAAGGAGCTGTCTTCTGGCCCTAGAAGGGGGTGGTGGCAAGGCCCCAGCACTCACATCCCAGACCACAGGGGTGTGACGTTTCAGAGCTTGTTGCCAACGCTATAACCAACCACTTCTAGAAGGGTTTGCTTGTTTGTTTGTTTGTTTTCCCACAGGGTAATGTTCTTGGACTCAAGAGGGGGGAGCTTTAAATGCAGAGGAGTGTGTTCTTTCCTTCTCTTATTCCTGGGGGCAGCTGACGCCCGTGACCTCCGGCTGCTGAAACAGCCCCAACCCTGGGCACCAGGAGATGACGAGCCCCAGCCTTCTCTGCCCTCGCCTTGTCCTGCTGTGAGGCTTCCAAAACGCACCCCATGCCACTGGGCCACTTGCACCTGGGAATTGAGGGAGAACAATCTTCCCTGTAAGGAAGGACACAATGAGACAAAGGGACCCTTGTGACCAGGGCGGGAGGCCTGTATTCAGAGGTGTTTGGAAGCTAAAATAACTTAGAGGGACGCAACAGGAGAAAAGCAAGGCTATGCAGATATGCTGCCTTGGCTGAGGCAGCTCATGCAAGTCAATCTCTGAGCCTCAGTGTCCCGATCTGTAAAATGGGAGGATAATACTACCTCCTCCCCAAGACAGCTATGAGGGTCAAATGTGAGAACGCACAGGCAGGCCTTCTGCGACTGGATAGGCTCTATACAGATACGAAGAGGAGGGGGAGAAGGAAGAGGAGGGGGCTGCCATGACTGGACAGGGCGTGTTTCCAGGTGCTGTGCTCTGAGTTCCGGTGCTGGGGAGGGGACACAAACCCCCAAAGACTCTTCCAACTTTGAGATTCTCCGATGGTTGCAGAGCTGTGGGAGGAAGCACCCGTGGTCTGTGTCCGTTCTTGGGATTTCTGCGTCTTGGTTTGCATCTCTGTGGCAGGTCAAAGGGGCAGGGGCAATGCCTCAAGTTTGGGTCCTTTGCCCCTGGGACCTGGCCCCTGGGGAGCCTCAAGGCTTGGGGCGAGGGGAGGGCAACGTGCAGGGTTGGTGCCTCTGGTGGTCAGTGTTAGCACTGTATCAGCTGCCTCAGGTGGTGGGACCAGGCAGGAAACCGAGAAAGTGGGGTCCAGGCCTGGACTGTGCCCAAAAGCCCCAGGATCTATTGGCTGTCCTTGGCCCCCTTTTCCAGCACGCGATTCTCTCCGTTGGGTGGAGGGAACCATGCAGAGAGGAGGAAAGGGACAGGATAGTGGGAAGGGTCGGCGTAGATCTCAAGGACTGGCTCTCCTGACATCGCCTCCTTTTTGGGGATCACGTGGGGCCATCCTAACCCCGGTGGACAACCCCACAATGACACATTGCCACCTGGACGCAGGCAACCCCCCTTTGATTGGTGGTCTCTCTAGCTGAGGCCCTCTGTGCAGAACCCTCACGAGGCGGGTGACGATGGGGAGGAAAAGACGACGGGCCGGGGACGTGATCCCAGGATGAGTGGAAGGAGCTTCTGAATCATCCATCAGCACACCTATGCATAAATGGACAGAGAAAAGAGGTGGGGGCACAGGTGGCCAAGGTATAAAAAGGGCCCGCAAGGGACCAATGCCAGGATCCCGAGCCCTAGCTCCCCAAACCGCTCAGGGTCCTGTGGACACTCGCCCAGCTGCGATGGCTGCAGGTAAGTGCCCCTAGAATGCCTCTGGTCGTGGTGTGTCCAGGGGAGATGCGGGCCCTACAGAAGGGATGGGGGCGCTAACCCTCAGGTTTGGGGTTTCTGAATGTGAGTACAGCTGCCTAAGCCCAGACGTTCGAGAATGTTCTCGATGCCTGGGCAGAGGGGGAGGCAAAGGCACAGCACCTGGGACAGGCAGGGAGCTGGCCTCCTGCTCTGGCCTCCCTCACCCTCTGCTCTCTCCCCAGTCTCTCGGACCACCCTGCTCCTGGCCATGGCCCTGCTCTGCCTGCCCTGGCCCCAGGAGGCCGGCGCCTTCCCGGCCATGCCCTTGTCCAGCCTGTTCGCCAACGCTGTGCTCCGAGCCCAGCACCTGCACCAGCTGGCCGCTGACACTTACAAGGAGTTTGTAAGCTCCCAGGAATGGGTGCCAGTGAGGGGGCAGGGAGGGGCCCCTTTCCCCCAGAAGTAGTAGGAGGACAGTGAGGAGCTCAGGGTTGTTTTATGCAAGTGAAGATGCAGATGAGCATAACCTGAGGGGGTCCCCATAAAGTAGTCGTGAGAGCCGGCCACCAGCATTGACCTTCTCCCAGGAGCGCACATACATCCCGGAGGGACAGCGATATTCCATCCAGAACGCCCAGGCTGCCTTCTGCTTCTCGGAGACCATCCCGGCCCCCACGGGCAAGGACGAGGCCCAGCAGAGATCCGTGAGTGGCCTCGCTCTTTGGAAGCAACTCCCCCTTCTCTCCCCAGTTGGCCTGCTCACACCCTAGGCCGAGGGCCCCCTTCTCCCCCGGGCTGGGACAAAGGGAGGCACGGGCACCCACGCCTGCCCTCCCTGCAGGACATGGAGCTGCTCCGCTTCTCGCTGCTGCTCATCCAGTCGTGGCTCGGGCCCGTGCAGTTCCTCAGCAGGGTCTTCACCAACAGCCTGGTGTTTGGCACCTCGGACCGTGTCTATGAGAAACTGAGGGACCTGGAGGAAGGCATCCAAGCCCTGATGCGGGTGAGGGTGACGCTGGCAGTGCTCTACCCTGGGGCCCCGCTCGCTTAGCAGAGGGCTGGGGGAGAGAAATAACGCTGCTCTCTTTTTAGCAGTCAGCCTCGACCCAGGAGAACTCATCTTACTCCTCATTTCCCTCTTTGACTCTTCCAGGACTTTCTTTAGGCTCAGGGAGGGAGGGAGGCAAAGGGCCAGGAGAGGGAGGGAACAGCTCCTAAGCACTTGGCCTCTCCTTCTCTTCCTTCCCCTGGCAGGAGCTGGAAGATGGCAGCCCCCGGGTTGGGCAGATCCTCAAGCAAACCTACGACAAGTTTGACACAAACTTGCGCAGCGACGATGCGCTGCTCAAGAACTACGGGCTGCTCTCCTGCTTCAAGAAGGACCTGCACAAGGCCGAGACGTACCTGCGGGTCATGAAGTGTCGCCGCTTTGTGGAGAGCAGCTGTGCCTTCTAGTGGCACGGCACCTGCTACCCCTCCCCAGCACCTCCCTTTACCCTGCAAAGTACCACTCCAGTGCCCTCCAGCCTGTCTTAATAAAATTAAGTTGCATCATATCGTCTGGCTATGTGTCTTTCTATTGGGGGGCAGGGGCCAATCCTGTGGAGTCTATTGGGAACCAGGCTGCTGAAATGTAACTGACCTGGCTCTTCCCGGGCCAGAACAAAGCCAACGCGTTACTCCTCTCTATTACATGCTAAGTCCACCTCTCCAGGCCAGTGGTCCCAGCTCGCTGGGCAGGCGTATGTCAGCAAGGTCATAGGTCACCCCCATAAAGTACTTGGAGCCATTTCTCCCTCCCCTACCAGCACCAACACCACCAAACCTAGGCCCACCCCCACCCCAAGAGTGGGAAGAAATGAAAACGAGACAGGCTATTAAGTGCAGAAGGAAAATAACCCAACAGGTAGGAAAACAATGAGTAAAATCACAGAAGTACTTGTGTGCACACAATTGAAGGTGAATGAGCATTAGACCCAGCTGCCCTTGGGAAATGAGAACTGTGCCAAAATGAGTTTGGGACGTACAGAACCAGAGTGTTTTGGACCTGAATTGGAGCGAGGGAAGTGGAAGAGAGTTTCTAGATTGGGGGTTGCAAATGCAGTGCCGACAGGTGCCAGGCAGATATTACGTAAGTGGTGAGGGCTGGGTGGGAGGGGATAAATGGCAGCTGACGCAGCCTCCTTGAGAGGGCTGCGCTGCGGAGGGGCGAGGACAAGAGCAACCTGCAGAACTCAGGCCCCAGCTAAGGTGAGGCCCCTCCAGCCTGTCATCAACTGCAAGGGACAGGGCCACCAGATCCCCTGATTCTTCAAGACAGCCAGGACACTCAGACTTACATAAAATCTAATTTTAAATATTGGCAACTAATACATATTAAAAAACATTTTAAGGGCAAAAATCAGCCCAAACACATTTGGTCTTTGAGCTGTCAGTGAGCAATTTGTTCTAAGCACAGTGGACTGGGATAAGTTGGTATAAGGGAAGGAATCAGGAAGATTTGGGCTGTGTGTAATTTGTGCTCCTGAACAAAGTACTTGACCGCACTAAGATTACAATCTGTTGCTTTACAGGACTAAGTGAGGATTAAATGAAATGATGTTTCTGAAGTAGTTGACATAGCACTCAAGAGATTATGGTTATTTTTGCATTGAATATTGGGGTGTTTCATGTTTTCTAGTGGAGTGTCTAACACCTGTTATTAAATCATTTGAGGGTGGACCTGCAGTCCCGGCACTTTGGGAGGCTGAGGTGGGAGGATTGCTTGAGCCCAGGAGTTCAAGACCAGCCTGGGCAACATAGCAAGGTCCTGTCTCTACAAAAAATTAAAAATTAGCCGGGTGTGGTGGTGCACACTTATAGTCCTAGCTACTCCAGAGGCTGAGGCAGAAGGATCACTTGAGCCCAGAGTTCCAGGTTAGAGTGAGCTATGATCACACTACTGCACTCCAGCCTGGGCAACAGAGCAAGACTCTGTCTATAAATGAATAATTCTGTTTTCCTAAAAGCATCTCAGATGTCTCCTATTTCCAGATGAACTTGAAAGGGCAGTGACTAATGCTTAATAATTTTTAAGTCTCCCAAGTACCCTGGCTAAGTGACTAGCCACCTATAAATCAATACTAAGATTGCTCACTGCAACTCTATTATCCAAAAATGATTTTATGAAGTCAATAATTCTTTTGCAATGCAAATAATCCCCTAATTAATCATCTTGAAGTTCATATTTTTATGTACTGTTGTGAATTTTCTTTATAACAGGACCCACCTGTACTCGTTGTTAGATTTTTTTTTTTTTTTAAGTTAGTAACGTAAGTCCTTGGGAAGTGGTTGAAAGTTGAAATATCAGAACTCCAAAGCTCCATTTCTTAGCTCAGAAATCATTTGTCTCCCTTACATCATACTTTTATTGTCTGGTATTAAAATTATGGAATTCATCCTAATTCCTTCGACTTTAGGAATCTTATTCTGTATGATCCATTATAGATGGTATTCCCATTACGACTGTAGCACTAGAACCAAGGGAATCGCTATTTCACAAGACTACTCATTCTATTAAGCCACTTTGATTTCAGAAGAGCATTTCTTCCATTAAGCCTGTAATGTCCTTCATTTGGCCTTAAACATTTTTAGAAATTTCATGGTCTTTAGAAGTTGATGTAATGAGTACAAATATATTTATCTCTTGGCTTGAATAGGTGTTTTAAAAGGAAATGTGGGCCATCTTGATGAACATTTGTTGAATGAATGTGGCAGGAGAATTACAATGTTCGGTGCCTACACAGCGGTGTAAAAAGAGGGTTCTAAAGGGGGGTTATCTTAACAGAACTGGACCGCAGGGGGAGCCAGAGAGTGTCCACTCAGCTCCACCTGGGCATCTCAGAATCAGCTCCACCACTGCTAGTTGAGAATTACACAGACGCTAGCAGATTTTGCAAAATTTTAGAATTTAAAGACCTTAAAGACCATCTACCCGAAACTCTTTGATTTGCCAACTGTTATTATGCCTTTCAACTCTTCAGTTCGGCAGTGGATGGCAACCTTAGCTACAAATTAGAAACGCCTAGGGTGTTTTCTAAACCATGGCTACATTACTCTCCACTCCCTGAGATTCTGATTTCATTGGTCTGGGATAGGGTCCAGGCAAGAGTAGTTTTAAAAGCTCCCCAGGTGATTCTACTGTGCAAAAAAAGTTGAGAACCACTGAGTGAGGGACCAGAAAGATGAGATAACTGTCCACAGCTATTGCATTGGTAAAACAGGGAAAAAGGAAATGAGAGAGCTGGGCCAGTTGTGGCACTCTCTGCTTCTAATTGTAACCAAGAATTTTAAAATTTTTGCTAATGAGCCAGTCACAAAAAGACAAATACTATATGATTTCACTTCTATCATGTACTTAGTCAAGTTCATAGAGAAAGAATGGTGGTTGCGGCAGCTGAGGGGAGGAGGAGTGGGGAGTTGTTTCACGGGCACAGAGTTTCCATTGTGCAAGATGAAAAGCGTTGGGGAGATGTGGTGATGGACGCAGAGCAGTAGGGATGAACTTGACATCACTGAACTGTACGCTTAAAACGGTTAAGATGGTGAATTTTATAGTTTATCACAATTAAATTTTTTAACAGTATTTTCTAATGAAAAAAATCCTCCCTCAGGTAAGATTAGCAAGACTCGCACAAGGAGGAGTTCAATAGACAGGACTGGAGTAATCCTTGATCCCTGCAAGAATGTTTTTCTGACTCCACGTAATCTTTTGAATTTACTCTAACCTGAAATGGCTACTTCTGAATTTCTTCCATGAGCATTTCCAAAACACACAAGATGAGCTTTGTCCCTTTACACACAGTTGAGAGCAGAACTGACACCTTCCCCAAGTCCTCTGTGGAATTACAGGATCTGAACATTCAGGCCAAGGCAAGCTGACACTCTGCTGCTTTAATTCAGAAGGCCTTGACGTGGCTGAGAGATGCTCTTGAGTGCTGCTGGTATTAAGGTTCCCCACTCGTCCTGGTTTGCATGAAGCGTTCCTAATTTTAGCAGTGAAAGTCCCAGGTCCTGGGAACCCCTCAGCTCAATGCAAACTGAGCTGGTAGGACTGGTCTTCCTACTAGTAGTCCTAAATCTCAGGAAACCGAAAAGGGGGGAAAGTAGAGGAAGGTGGAGGAAAAAGACTAGAAAGACAAGAAAAAGCGTGTATGGTGTATATGACTTTTGATGGCCCTCAATGGTTGCCACAGATTTCTGCCTCTTGCTTTGAGTTTGTGATTATAATTATGGGTATAATTACTACCAGGATTATTAGTGTAATAATAAAAGCCAACATTTGCGAACACAGGTATACAGCACCATACCAGTGTTTTACGAGTACCGTGTCATTTCTTTCTAACTATAATCCTTCAAGGTAAATACTATTATTATCCCTATAGTAAGAAGCCCTATTGAATATTTAACTTACGCTTTCTCAGGCCTAGAGAGAAAGATGCCAGAAAGTCACCTTGACTATCCTTAAGAGGATGAACTTTTGGAGTATTAAAGGTTAGTCTTCCCCTGGAGATAATAAGGGTAGCTGCAGTTTAAGTGTGAGCTGGTTGCTCTAATGCTCAGAAAGAATATGATCAAAGCCTCTTATGGGGTGGGGCCTCCTGGAGACAGTGAAGGCAGCTACCCTTAGAAGCTCTATTATGTAGGGAAAGAGATGCAACAAGACCCTTTGTGCTTTGGGAATTGATGAGGAGTCGCTGCCTGGCCCTGGCTGTGTGATCACTGGAGAAGGAAAGGGAACAGAGATTCCAAGCCTACACAGGGAAGAGCCTAGCCCAAATCTGAAGCACTCTGCGGGATGGCTACTCCAAACTACTGAGCTCTGAGAACTGTAACCCTGGATGCTGAAGCACCAAGGAAGCCAATCCCCACCCTCCACCCCACAACCTGGACCTGTAGAACTGCTTGGTTTGATGGCATCTGTCAACACTGACACCCTGTGGCAGTGAGAAGCAAAGGCAGTAGCAGGCTAAGCCATCAGCCTCTCCCTGCTGGAACTAGGAAGTCCAAATGACCCTCTTCTTCCCTTCCTTTTGGCTTCACTGTGCCTCAGGGCACTGAGGCCATGAGGTGGGGTTTGCAGCTGTGGGACAGCCACAGGCCTGATGCACCTGATCCTGATGCCAAAATGGCCATGGATCCCTGTACTGGGCTGCTCTTACTCCTCTCCTAAACCTGCTTCGTAACTTATTTTCCCAAGTGCTCAATTCAGGAAGGTGGATAATGTATATTAGACTCACATGATGAAAGAACAGTGGCTACTAAGTGGAGACATTGATGCTGAGAAGACTATTTGGGGGGATGCTATTTTGCAAACTCAAACAAGCTATTTCCAGTCTCCTTCCAGGAAGGCTTCCTTGATCCAGATCGGGCTTTCTCTTGACAATCTATGCTTTCCCAGTCATAGGAGTTAATGCACAAACGTAATCTCCTACTCATTTGTTTACCTTCTCTGATAGACTACAAACCTGTGGAAGCCAAGGACAATGTTTTGGTCACAATTGTATCCTCACTGCCTCGTATGTGAAGGCAAAGGGTTATTTTTATACCAAATCCACAACCCTAGACTCAGGGGAGGTCTGGGAAGAATGGGAAAATTTTTTCCCTTTGCTGTCTGATACTGCATTCTTTCTAGCTAGTATCTGCAATTTGGAAGGCTGTGGACCTCCATCTTGAGTTTTGAGAGTAGGTCAAATAGGCTACTTCCCTGAGCTAATGTACCACCTGCCCTGGGTTGGTTGTTTATGCTACCAGCTTGGTACTCTTTCCTTAGAAATTGTATTCAAAGTTCTAAAATGCAACCATTTGTCTTAATAAAAGCTTTCAGCAATGATACAGAAGAGAAATACATTCAGGTATCATAAAATCACTTTTATTTTTTACTATGGCCAACATTTCAGTTAACATTTCATGACTGATTTGGGAGGAAAAAATCTGGCTTTATGATTTCTCATGCCTTCTCCAGGGGTAAATATACTACTTCCAAAGAGAAGGAAGCTGAATCATAAAATCACATGGTGAATATTGTCACAAGAGGATTCCTCTTGAAACTTAAAGGAAACAGTTTGCAGACAGATCAAAATAAACACTTTATGGAAAGGGAGAGTAAACACTGGAACTCTAACCTAGGAGCCCATATAAGTTAAAAAAAAAAAAACTGTCAAATGTGAGCTCACAGATGATTACTCTACAATGGACTATGAAAAGGAATTCAGAGATGTTTGGAGCCTTTAACCTACGATGCCAATTGTATGGAAGAATTCTACCTTTTACTTCAGAGACAGAACATTGGGCTAGGTGAGCTGCTTGTCTGGCCAAATGTGTAATTTCTTATGATTTTTATACTCCCCCCAAGGGCCACAACAGATGGTTACTCAGTTGAAGCTTAACCAGTCATGGACCTTTAATGATATCATCAAGCTCAGCTCTGGGAGTATGCATTCCAGAACCCCAGGTGAGGGGAGCAAGGGAAAGCAGAGATGGGAGTATCCCCTTCAAAGTCTTGTCCCTGGACTAAAAAATTAGTTCCCAGTTAGTCATCAGGAAACCATGAGAAATGAGTTGCATTTCTAAGATATGTCTGATTATCTCTTTAGTGTGATGTTTGAGAGAATAGGGAAGGATCTTCTTTTCTGACTCTAAGAGTGGATTGATTAAGCACCTAAAAAGGAGCAAGAGACCTTCTCACTAGTTGAAAACTGGGAACGAAATTCCCTAGTGACTAGTGTGAACTCAAAGGAGAAAACTGAGCTTGTGGATGGATTGGACACAGGGACATGGAGTTCTGGAACACTGTTTTATGGGACAGAAGAACAGAAAAGTTAATGTAGCCTCACATTCTGTTTCTTCCTTTCTCCTCTAATCCTCTCTTCCCTCCCTGGGAAATCCCAGTAATAGAAGTCTCATTCAACCAAAAGCTGTTTCTATTCAACAATTATGTGAGTTGCACTTTTCTGCTTGTTGAACAGCAAACTGGCTTTCCTCCTCTTTGTTCTTCTCTTTCTGCCCATAGGGCAATTTCCTTCTATTTTGCAGGGCTGATAGTTCAAATATAGTGCTACACTGATTACACCCACTCCAAGGATGACAATAATAATGATGAAGATGAGAGAGCTGACTCCTTCATCCAGTCCTGCTCAAGCACAGAAAACAGAATTGGGAAAGTTTGAGAGCAAGACAATCACCCCATCCCAACCCAAGCCCACTTCTGAGTCTCATCCTCCCCAGCCCAGTAAAAATCTTTCTTCTTTCTGCACTTGGATAAGAATCCCAAACCCCTGAGGGATTTCCATCCCAGGCCTGATAGCAGGGCAGCAGCAGTCACCTTGAACGACAACAGCAATGTCTTTGCTAACAGAGCCCAGCTGGTTAGTGGCCGTGCAGCAGTGGGTTCCAGTGTGCTTCTGGGTTGCCTTCTATGGCATGTCAAGGTTGAAGATGACCCCGTTCCAGGTACACACCAAGGCTGGAGCTGGGTTTCCCTTTGGCATGCAGGCAAGCATCTGCTCCATCCCTTCTACCCATGTCTGGTTGCCAGGGCAATCAGATTCCTCTAACCATGGCTTTTCTACAAAAAAAAAAAGAGTCCCCCAAGGAGCCGAGCTCAGTGCACCACATTCCCTCCTTACCTTCCTACTCAGCTCCCTCTCCCTCCCCTAACCCAAATGCTGACCCCTCCACCCAACAACTTTCTTTCCCAAGGGAGCACTCTCAGTTCCCTGCTTGGAGCCAACTCATCTTTCCTCCCTTCGCTATGGACAAGGAGTCTGAGATGCAGGCTAGGGTACGTTTACGGGTACGTTTACAGACTAAATGCTAGCCCTGCTCTGCCCGTGTGGGGACCCTGGAGCCCTGCTTCTCATCTTTGCTTCTCAGTGGATTAGGGTAGGGGTCAACTCAGAGAGGAGGATTTTTCTATTTTTCAAAATACACATTTTTATACGGAATTTTTAGAAATTTCCCTCCTAAGCATAAGCTCCAACTGTCACTTCCTATGTTCTCCTCAGCCATCAACCCTCAGCTAATACTGCCTAATCACTTCAACCATTTTTCTTTCTATTCTCAATTTCCCTTCATCTTTCTCCCCATTCACTTCCCTGGGGGTAAGGTAAGCTTGGAGAGCTCTCATTTTATTTTCTCCTTTGATTTTTTTTTTTAATGAGAAAAATGTGGCAACTCTAATAATGAAGCTACTGGCCAAGATCTCTGGAAATGGGAAACTAATCATCTTTGTTTTGATGAGAAATATCAGGCTTCTACTCACATAAGACATGGAGCTGGATCACAGTGGTTTTAATCAACCACTGACCCTCCACCTCCAAAGAGGCCTCATAGGAGAAATTTCGGCCATCATCTTCCTCTCTGGCAGTAAGCAGAAACCAAAAAGGCTTCCCAGGGGCAGGGAGATTTGGGGCTCCCTGAAGCCGAAGAGTAGGGCTGGGTGACGTTAATACATGCCCCGAGCAGGTCACATTAATGTCTGTCCCTGCCAAGTGGTATGATTCTTCTAGCTCTAGGATTGGTGGAGGGAAACCTAGAACGAAAGGAAAAAGAGAACCACAAACATTTCTCAAAACTAGCAGCTACTTCTGTACTCTTGCTGCTGGTGGTATCCCTTAGGGAGACAGACACGGGAAAAACTTTAGATACCATTGCTGCTTCTGCAAAGAAGGAGCAAAGACTAGCACTCTGGGAGGCCAAGGTGGGCAGATTGCTTGAGCTCAGGAGTTCGAGACCAGCCTGAGCAAGAGTAAGACCCCCATCTCTACTAAAAATAGAAAAATTAGCCAGGTGTCATGGCATGTGACTGCAGTCCCAGCTATTGGGGAGACTGAGGTAGGAAGATCGCTTGAGCACAGGATTTGGAGGTTGCAGTGAGCTACCATGATGTCACTGCACTCCACCTGGGGCGACAGAGCGAGACTTTGTCTCGGAAAAAAAAAAAAAAGGCGCAAAGGGGTGGTTTGGGGATTTGAGAGCTTCTCTTACAACAAATGCAGTGTGTACACATTTGGCTATGCCTCTACTGCAAGGACAGCAGGATGTCTTTTCATCTTACAGATGTCCTCCTCACCTCAAATATTCCTAGGAAAAAGGTCAGGCATCACAATCTCTCTGTAAGCAGGATGGCCTAAGAAAACTGAGGGTGAAGACTGGAAAGAACTGTTGCAATACATGTCCCCAAACTGCCTGCACTTACCAGAGGAAGACGAAGACTAATGTTCATTTGAGAGAGTATTCAGCAAAGGTTAGTAGGGATATCTACAGTCAAATCACCAACCCATCACTGCGTAAGGTTCAACAGCAGAGAACCCATATGGGACAGGGAAGAGGCTGGTCACCTACTGTAGACATGCACTGGCTTTCTTGTTTTCTGTTCCATTGGACCCAGAGATACGAGGCAGGACAGCTCCTGATAACCAGTCTCCATTGCCCGAACAGTGGCATTGGCCCATGCTGTGTCCCCCTCCCGGGAGAGGAAGAGGCTCAGCTCCTGATCTCCTAGAAACATGTGGAACATAACTTCTTTGGCAGGAAACACATTAGCCACCTCACAGCTCACAGTCTCTGCCATCCCAACCTCCACAAGTGAAGAGACCCAGATCTGGGGGCTCTCAGAGAATTCTGCCAAAAAACAAGGAAAGAAAGGAGAAAAGCCATGATAAATCATGTGTCATGCAGGACCCCACAATGTAGGAAGGGAGTGGGGCTAAAAGATCTCTCTTCCCCAGGGTGAGTTTAAAGCCCAAGTAGAGGTAATCATCCCCACACCTAAACCCTGTGGGAACTTAGCTCCAAAGGCCAAGGCAAGATGAGCAAAATGAGGCACAAGATTTCTTCCATACCTGGGCTCTGACTCACCAAAAATCCGGAGTACTTTGATGAGTGAGCTGCCTTGAAAGATACTGCCACCTTGTGAACTCAAGTCCAGTTCGGCACGGAGGAGAAATTGCACCTGTCATTCTCCCTTTGGGCTGTGACACTGATGGTGACCTCAGCTCTTTGGGAGGCCACAGCCAAGCTCACAAAGTTCTTTCTATACAGTTCTTGGTTACCCTGGAGAAGGGTAAGGGTGAGGTTCTCCAAGGGTGCTACGCTGGGCACATGGCATGTCACTGTAAAGGCTTTATCCACAGCCACCCATGCAGGCTGCAGCTCCAGGATCACCTCCTTTGGTGGCTCTTTAAGACAGAAAGGGAGGGCTTGATGAGTGCTACCCACCTTTCCAGAAAGAAATGGGATAGGACAGGAAGCCTGATCCATCTGATCATGGTTGATCAACATCTGATCAATAGTGTCAGCTTTCTGCCATCCCTGCCCCAGATGGGACAAGTTAGCCTTCTGGCTCTTTTCTGCCACCTATCAAAGGCAGCTAGAGCCATAGCTAAGAAATGTGACTGCTGAGGTGAAGTCCCTTGCTTTGATTGTTGCTGCCATTCTGGAAAGCCTTTATCTCTTACCAGAGGTGCTTCAGAGACATGAGCAGCTTCTGAAGGACTCCTTAACAGCATACAAAAACTATAACTAACCAAGTTCTTACCCCCAGACATCACATGTATTCTTCTAGCCATATCTCTGCTGACGCAATTTGCTCATCTTAAAGACTTTCTTCACCTGTCCCCTTCCATTAAAATCCTAACCATTCTGCAGGAGGGCAGCTCAAGAGCCTCTTTTGTCACAGAGGCCTCTCTAACTACCACAGGTCATAAAGACCCTCTTTAATCTCTATTTATTCTAAGAGCTCGTAGCAAATAATTCAGGACTAACTTTATATTTTTTTATACTTCAGAAGTTAGCATTATTAGCATATGCTTCCTGTATTTGAGCATATTCTCAAGCACAGATGTCTGGATGCCCTCTATAATCTGTTCCTAATTAAAACCCAGCAGGAAGTCAAAGGGCAATAGAAGTAACTGGCTCTAGCATCCCTAGAGTATGACAGAAATCTTTATTACAGGCCCTGATTCTCTCTCACAATTAGAAATATTTGTCCATCCTTCCCGAAATAAGACATATTCATTGTTTCCCTACACCACTCCCTTCCTCTCCAACCCTCAGCCCCACTCAACATACACAGTGATGCCAAGGCTTATGTCCTTTTGGATCCCTGCACAAGAGAAGAAGCACTGCAGGACAGAATTCTTTGTGACATCCGCCAGGAGAAACTCTTTCCACTGAGGCCCTTTGCCTACTTGGGTTTTCTTTAAGAAGGTCTCAATTCCACTGGGTCTTGGCTCTGGACAGGTGGTGCTGCAGTTAACCATTAGGGACTGTCCATACTCCACCAGGGCCTGATTTGGCCAAACAGAAACCTCAAACAGCTTTTCTGTGACCCCTGAAATGAACCACATATGCCAAAGACTCTGGTGAGGACCATGAGACCCAAACAAAATACAGAGCCTATTCTATCTAATTATAAGTTAGAGACCAGGGAACCTGCCCTGAATAAAAAGGTTCAGTGGAACAGACAAGAAAAAGACCTTTAATTAACAAGTTAGAGCTCTGTTTCTACCGTCTTCTTTCTTCAGATCTTAATTTCTCTATTAGTGTCACCATGGAAACTATAGAGTTGCTAAAAATCATGCTCAGAAAACCATTCTCTTTATAAACTTTCAGAATTATTGGAAGCTCCCCACGATTGGTTGCTGAGGGCCTGCATGGGGTCAGGAGACCCCTGAGCAAAAGAACTTTATTACTTATACCTCAAAGCAGTGTTTCACTGAAATTATGGTCAAGGATTGCCTTCGCCAGAATCACCTGGAATTCTTGCAAAATTGCTGATCCCAACTCCACCTCAGAGTGAATGTTTAAAAACATGTGAAGGTAGGACGTAGTCATATGCTAGGGAATAAAACAAGCCTCCTGGGAACGCTTAGGCACACCAAAGTTTGAGAACCCAGGGCCTACAGGTGACTCCCAGGGTCATTCATTTCCCATGGAACTTTACACTGCTTCTCAGAGTAAAACCATTCCATTTTGATTTTAGGCTGAAGCAACAGACATTTCTGGATGCCTACGAGTTAAGACTGTTAGGGAAATCTTCTCAGATGCAGTGAGAGAAACATCAGTTGGTTTTTGACACCTGATGTAGGTAAGGGGCACAGTCTCCTGAAGACTTCCAACAGGTCCCCTTTAGCTACACCATGCCCACCATCCACTCCATCTCCCAAATACCAGTCCCCTCTGGGAATACACACACTTTTAGTAATGTTACCCACTAAAGCTCCAGTTCCCCCCCTGCCATCGAGAGCACTCACTTCTTGAAACTGAGCTTTGGGGGCTTTGTTCTGTCAAGATCCTACTGTAGGTCACTATGATGCAAAGGGTGTCCTGAGAAACACAGGACAGTTCTGGGGAAGAGGGGATCCAAGCAGAGAAAGCATATTTCCTAGGGAGAGTCCTCTATGATACTCTATTAATTTGGGTTTCCCAAGTGATCCAAGAAACAGGAATCTCTCCCTGGAGTCCAGAAGAATGAATACTGAAGTGTCACCCCACTCAGGACTTCCCATTCCCTTCCTCATTGACCAGACACCTTTGTCCCGGCACACACTGGCTAAAGAAATTTTCCCAAATAGCCTCACCTGGGCAAGGGATCAAGACCATCAGGGCCCAAACATCAAACAGAAGCATTTTCATCCTTATGAGAAGGCCAAAGGCTGGAAAGGAAGAAAGGAGACAGC